GGGGAGGGGGGGGGTGTCCCCAGCATCCCCCCCTCTCCCCCGTGCCCTCTCCGTACCGTGCTGCTGGTGGTCCCTGAGGTCACTGCCTGCTGGAAGTGAGCAGCCAGCCCGGCCTTGTCCTTGCACTGCTCCTTGCACTCCAAACACCTGAAGCAGCTGTAGTTGCTCTGCTCCGAGCTGTTGCTCAGAGGCAAGACTGGCAGATCCTGAGCCCCATTGGCCACCCCTAAAGCCTCCTGAGCCACGCCCGTCACCTTCCCAGCGGGGAAAGAAGCCACGGAGACCAAAGGGGTGATGTCTGGTTGGCCGATCATCTGATCCAAAGCGATGGGTCTCATCACCAGGTGAGAACATTGCATCACCAAACCTTTGTCCTTGTGCTCCCGGGCGTGGAGGAGGAGGCTGCACTTGTTGAAGAAGACCAAACGTTTGGTGCAGTGGTTGCAGGTGACCTCGATGCGCATGCTGCGCCGGTCGTAGTGCCTGGCCAGGCTCTTCTCCAGGGCAAAGGAGTCTCCACACTCCAAGCAACGGTAGCCAAAAGGTGGCAAGGCCAAGCTGGCGTCGGCTGGAGGGCTCAGGTTGGGTTTGTAAGTAGGCAAAAGGTTCTTGCTGTTGAGGATTTTGTTAAAGGCTTCCACCAGGCTGGATTGGCTGCGGGAGATGACGGTGCCCGCCACGGTGGGAGAAGGTTTCTGAGGTTGCACCATCACCACCGTGGTGCCGTTGAGCTTCTGGTTGGCCGCCGGGGCGACGGCGCCGACGTTGCCCCCGCCGTCGGTTTTGGGGAGGGGTTGAGGCACCAGGTTGATGATGTTTTTGGCCAAAGATTTGGTGGATTTGGCCGGCAGGGAGGAGGATTTCTGCTGGGCCACGCTGGCGGCGATCAGCATGGCGCTGCTGGCGCTCTGGATGGTGGAGACGGGCAGCACCGTGCCCTTCAGCTTGGTGCCGTTGCCCAGCTGAACGCTGACTATTTTTGGCCCTTCCAGGGATTTTAAAGGGCTGGAGAGCTCCAGTTTGTCCTTCGGAGCCTCCAGAGCGATGCCTTCCTCTTTCTCCGCCGACGTGGAGAAGCTGGAGGACTCCAGGGAGGTCTCCTGAGAGCTCTGCTCGGGTGGGCCCTTGGTGGAGCCCGGCTCCGAATCCGAGGAGACCCTGGTCACCGTCCTGGTGATGCTGCCACAGGAGGTTTTGATGGTTTTAATCCTCACTTTGAGGGGTCGGGAGGAGTTGGAAGATGGCGAATCGTTGTTGTTGTCCTCTTCCTCCTCCTCCTCCTCAGCACTGGACATGCTCTGAGGGCTTCCCATCGACTTCTCCAGAACTTCTCGCTCCTCCTTGAGGGAGATGTTCTCCAGCGGCTTGGGAGAGGGGTGGAGCCTGGGGCTCTGCACCCCTGGGGAGGAAGGTTTGAAGAAGGGCTCCCGGGGGCTGGCGGGGGGTGAGTGCTTCACCTCAGCGAGGCTCCCAGTGCCACCCTCCAGGGTGGGCTCCGAGCTGGGCCAGGAGGCCATGGGGGAATCGTCCCCGGAGTAGCGAACGGTGACCGACTTCAGGTGCTCCAAGGGGCTGTCGCCCAGGGCTGAGACCAACCCCTTGGGGCTGGCTTCACGACACGCCTCCTCCGAGTCAGACTCCTCTTTTTTGATGCAGGGGATGGAAGGAGGGGACCCGTTCCCACCCCTGGCCTGGCTGGGTTCAAAAGGCTGCTGAAAAGCCGAGGGGAGGTTCTCTGAGCTCTCCCCCATGGGCTCTTTGCAGTCCAGAGAGGGGGTGGGCGAGGGGGACAGGGAGGGCACGGCGAGGGACTTCTCCTTGGCCTTACACTCCCGGGCTCTGTCGATGAGGTTGGCGGCGTTCTCCTCGTTAGGATCGGGGCTGAAGTGGGAGAAGATATCCAAGGGTTTGGGACCTTTTTCCTTCCCCCAACACTCCCCGTTGGAGGACGCCACGGCTTCCATGGACCTGGGGGTGGGGGACCTGGGCAGCTCGGTGGCCCCAAAGCCGTTCTGCAGCAGGCGAGAGCTTTTTAGGACGTGCCCATCTTTGCTGCGCCCGTCCAGGGCGTCGAGCTGCTCGGGGCAGACGGTGTTTTTGACAATGACACTGACAGCAGTGATGTCCGTGTGGGGCAGGACGTGGTCGGGGGGTCCCGGCTCCCCAGGGACCTGTTTGATGTGGGCCTCAGGCTCCTCGTGGCCAGAGTGGATGGCCTCGTTGGTGTCGATGTCGGGGATGTCGAAAGCCGCCAGGAGGTCGTCGAAATCCGGAGTTTTCATGTCACCCATGGTGGGGAACGTGGCAGAATCTGCAAGAAAAGGAGGAGAGGAGGGTTAGAGCCGTGATCAGGGCACGAGGATGGGTATTTGCACCTCCTGAGCCCCCCTGTCTCCTCCCCTTCGAGCTCCTCGGGAGAATCACGGCGCTTCTCAGCCCCCTTGGTTTGAGTTCTTGGGGGGTTTTTGATCCCCTGGCCAGGGTGGCAGAAAATTCAGAAGGATCCCCAGGAGAGAGGTGTGGGACAGCGGGGTGCAGCCTGGCAAGGAAAGCCCCAAGGCTGGGGTGGTCCCCCACGCTGAGGATGGGGGGTTGGAAGGGACCAAGGGATGGACACGAGTCAGGACCAGAGAGCTGCAGGAAGAGCAAAACACCCCATGAGGGGACCAAGGCCACCCCAAGGCCACCCCCAGAAGGCCACAGCTCAGGAGGGAGGTGTCCAGATGGCAAGGAGAAGGCTCAGATAAGAGACCTCGACCACGTGGGCTCTGGAGCAACAGAGGAGGCTGGAGGGAGACGTGGCAACAGGTTTCAAAGCACGGCTGGGAACAATGTTCCTCCTGTCACCGTGGGCTGGGTGAGAAATCCCAGGATTAGCTGCAGCCAGAGCAGCCTCCTGGCTCGTGGCACCTTCAGCTGTCACAGCTCTGGGTCACTGCACCCGTCCCCTCGTCCTGCTGCTCCTGGCAGAGGGGAAAGCAGGGGGCAGACACACTGCTGGGGAGGTGGTTCTGTCAGGGAGAGGGAATTATCTCCTCAGGCCTTGATTGTGAGGAGTGGGAGGGAGGGAGGAGGGAGGGATCTGGGGAAGAAGGGAGGGAGGAAGGGAAGGAAGGAAAGGAAGGAAAGGAAGGAAAGGAAGGAAAGGAAGGAAAGGAAGGAAAGGAAGGAAAGGAAGGAAAGGAAGGAAAGGAAGGAAAGGAAGGAAAGGAAGGAAAGGAAGGAAAGGAAGGAAGAGGATCTGGGGAAGAGGGGAGGGAGGGATGAATGAATGGATGGATGGATCTGAGGAAGAATGGAGGGAGGAACAGATGGAATGATCCTGGGGAAGAACAGAGGGAGGGATGAAGGGCTGGATGGATTCTTGACACCTTGGTGCTGCCCAAGGAGGCAGCAGCACTAAGGGAGCTGCTTCCCAGCTCTCCTCTAACCAGGGATGAACACAGGCCCTCTCAGGGGCAGTGTCCCTGTCCAGCAAAGCATTCCCAACGTGCTGGGGCTGCTCAGGGGAAGGGAGGAGCTCCTCTGAGCCTCCAGGGTGGCCTCTGTTTTGGAGACCCCCTGGTGTAGTGAGAGGTGTCTGGTGGGACACGCTCCCACAGCCAAGAGCTCCACCCCACCATGGTTCCTTCCCCAAACTGGAGCCAGATGGAGCAGAGCTGGTGCCCAACACCCCCCCAGAGTCACAGAACTGTTCCTGGTTGGCAGAGAACTTCCAGCTCCTGGAGTCCCCCCAGGTCCCCACTGCCCCGTGTCCCTCACCCCACATCTCCACGGCTTGGGAACCCCTCCAGGGGTGGGGACTCCACCACTGCCCTGGGCAGCCTGGCACAGCCCTGGGCAACCCTCCAGGGCAAGGAATTGTTCCTCAGGGGCAACCACAACCTCAGCAGCAGCTTCTCCCCAGCCTGGCTTTCCCTCAGAGGTGAGCAGCAGCCACCACAGCTCAGCTCTGCTTCCCCCTGAGGCACAAACTGCCCCTTCCCTGGGCACTGGGAAGTCTCCTGACCCCCCCTTCACCCTCTCCAACACGAGTGCCTGATGACACAGCAACTCAGAGGCCAAACAGGGCTCAGAAATACCCCTGGGGCTGCTCCTAGAAGAGCTCTGGGGGGTTTTATACCTGGCAACCCCCTCCACACACACACCCAGTTCAGCTCCTCTGAGGCTCAGCAGCTCTGTAAAGACTCTTGGTGGTTTTCCCAACAGACAGCTTAGCCAGAGGCTTAGTCTAGCTTTATTTTTAACTCTCATCATAGGTCACCCCAAGGGGATCTCCACTGGGTGCAGCGTGGGGTCTGTGGGGCACCAAGGAACCTGCTGCCCCAGCACCACGCTGCCACTGGAGATCCAGGTGCCCAGCTTGGCCCTGGCATCATTTCCACCCAAAGGGAAGGTGGCACATGGGGTGAGAAGGTGGCATGGGGCACAGGGCAACCCTTTTTGCCTGCAAAATCCAAAGGGCTTTGGCATCTGAGCACCACGAGCTCCTCCAGACCACAGGGGGGACTTTGGCTGTGACCTCAGCAGAGGGGAGGAGAGGAGCAGAAGGAAAAGCCCCAGGCTTTGAAACCCCCTGGAGGGGAGACACAGCTCACCCTGCTCCTCTTCCAGGGCTGCCATCTGGTTCTTCAGCACAGCCTCTCTGCCCTCAGCCTCTTTCTCCAATTCCTTTCCTGCTCCTCCTTGAGGAGGACACAAATCCTCCCAGTGAAGTGGAGAGAGGCAGGTTGCCACGCTGGGAAAGGATTCCCAAGAAGAAAAAAGAGGGAAATCCTCCTCTACTCAGCATGAAGGGTTCAAAAACATGAGGATGGGGCACCTGGGGACATGGTTTAGTGGTCATGGTAGCGTTGGGTTGATGGTTGGACTTGATCTGGGAGCTCTTCTCCAAATTTAATGACTCCATGATTTCTCTGGGCTCACCAAAGGGAGGTACCTCCTCACAGGAGGCCCTGCACAGGGCTGATGACATGAGTATTTTCTCTTTGGTTGGTGTTAATGGGAAGGTCTCCACCCCAGAAGGGGTTTTTTTTGGTTGTTCTTAGAAATCTTAAGGTCCTCATCTTAGAAGATCCCCCAATTCAGGCCCTTCTGATGGAAGAGTCCTGATCTTGAGTCAGTAATTGAGACTAGATCTTTAGGAAGGTTTTCAGCCAGACTCAGGACTAGATTGCCCAGAGAGGTTGTGGATGGCCCCAAACCTGGAGGTGTTCAAGGGCCAGACCCTGAGCAACCTCCTCTGGTTGAGAGGAGTCACAGCAGGGAGGTTGGTTTAGATCATCTCTAGGGTCCCTTCCAACCTGAGAAGCTGTCCTAGGATCCTGTAATTCCTCCTGCAAAGGAGGCAGCAGGGATGGGAAGAGCCCAAGCTCCACCTCAAACTCCACCAGCCTGTCATGGGGGAGTTATTTTGGTTGCTCAAAACCCAACTGTATTCTTAGGCAAAAAAGAACTGTTCCTCTGAGGTGTAACCAAGCCACCCAGGCAGGAGGGGGAGGGTATTTTTAACCTCTGTGGCCAAGGGGTGGTCACTAGCTGGGCCTCACAGGAAAAGAAGGGTTCACAACAAGCCCCAGCCTCACGTGGAAGAAACTGTGAGATGGGGGCAATGATATCCCCCCAGGAAGCCTCCAAAAGCATGGGCAGCACGGCCTGGGCACTGTGGTCACCAGTCCCCTGGCTCCACAGCTTGGGAAAGCCCAGCCCAGGGGCCACAGGGTCTGCAAGAGAACCCACGTGTGGAGAAGATCCCCAGATCCTCCCTGGCTTTGAGGAGGAAGAGCTGCAGAGCACAAAGTTGCCCAACTCGTTTGCCAACCCTGCCCTGAACTCTTAAACCAGAGGTTGGCAGACTCCAAATCTCAAAGTCCCCACTCTGCCATCCTGCCCACCACCAAACCCACATCAACACACCCCCAAAAAACCCCTCCCAGAGCTGGTTACCCTGCTGGGAGGGTGTGCACCAGGGCTGCCCCTCCACGGCCATGGAGCTTGGCAGCACTAGATGGCCAAGGAGGCCAAGCTGGGGCCACCCAACCCCTGCCCAGGGGAAGAAGTTGGAGCAGGCAGCTGAGTCTGACACCACAGAGTTCCTAGAGTCCCTTTTTCACCCCAAAAATCCCCTCTCCACATCCAACCACCTCGTGCCCACGAGCCACAGCCCTTCCTGAGGTTGGGAATTCCAGATGTCACCTCTCCCTAAGTCCCCCCCCTGAGCTCCAGCCCTTGCTCCAGCAGATCAGGAGGGCTGGAGACAGAGCAGAGCTGCCAAACTCTGCAGCCACAGCCCCTGGAGGTTTTCATCACCCATCTCCACCCAGGCCAAGCAAATCCCACCAATAACCACCAAGCTTTCAGTTTCGGGCAGGAGGAGAGAGTCTCCAGTTCATCTGCTGGGCAGAAAACCAGCCCAGCTTCCCTCTGGGTCACCAGGGACTGACCCCCCCCAGGGGACAGAGCTTGGCTGGAGGGGTGGCAAGGAGCCCAGCAGGGTTCTTAGGGGAGTGGAGCTACCTGGGCTGCAGTGGGGATGTGTTTTGAGGAAGAGGAAGCAGCTCTGCCGACGTTCCTCTGCCAGGCTCAGCTTTCTGCCTCTCTCAGAGGAGCAGCAGGAGGCTGAGCAAGAGGCAGGTCTTGGGCCACTGCCCTCCGTGGCACAGGGAGGACAATAAACACCCACAAACCTTTGGAAGAGCGAGCAGGAGGAAAGAGGAGATTCAGCTTTCTAAGTCTTGGGTCCTGTGCAGCTCGCAGCCTGGAGCAACCCAAGCGTGTCTCCAGCAGCAGGAGAGCCCCAGCTGCACCCCACCAGCAGCTGAACCCCCCCTCCTCGGAGAGAGAAAGGCACTGGGGAGGCCCAAACCAGCATCCAGCTCCTGCCAGCAAGGCAGAAAAGCTGTCACAGGCCTTGCCCAGCTCCAGCCCAGCACCCCCGAGCTGCTCCAGTCGAGGGGAACGGCTCCAAACCCCCCCCTCCCCAGAGCTAAAATAATAAAACAACATGGCACTGCTGAAGCACAACTGTTATTTTCATGGCTCATTTGCTTAGC